TCTCACCCACTTTCACATGAATCATGGAAAGTTGAGCGCTGTGGGACTCCCCCACTGTTCACAGAGTTCCTAGCTCCTGGTTCTGAGTCCGCAGCCTGAGAACGATTCCTCAGTGACTCAAGTGCCAGGATTTCCACCACTTCCTATGGTGAAGAAGTGGGTTTTTTGGTTGCTTTATTCTGTTTCATTGCTCCCAATTATGGTGGCTTAGGCCACCCTTAGAGAACTGCTTCCTCCAGACTCCTCTGGCTGTTCAATAAACACACAGACTCCACAACAGGAAGTTATCTGATCCCTAGTTTAGCCATCTTGTAGCCAAACTAAGCACATCTGAATTTCTCTATTGTTTCTGAGAAGATAATTTCTCAGTCTCTGCAGAATTAGTTACAGGTCATCAAAGGAAATTCACTCATAGGGTCCTAATTAATTTCTCATGCTCAGAGCACCTTATTAGGCTACCTGAAAAAAGGTAAACAAGCAAAGCAAGGCAATCTCAGGGTTATTTATTTATTTATTTTTACTCTGTTCTGTCCTCTCTTCTTCTCTTCTCTCACCCTCCGTCTCTGTCTGTCTTGTATTCTTTCTTTCTTTGTGGGAAGTAAATGTAAAAGGGAAGCAAGAAGCCAATAAAGATTTAAGTGGATGGAGACTGTGTCATCTCCATCCACTCCTCCCCTCCCCGACACCAGTTGGTCATTTATAGCTAGGCTCACCAGCAACTGTGATCCTCAGGGTCGAGTCTGCTAACCATAATACATTTTCTATGAGCAAATAGAAATTAACACAGATACAGAATAGCTAATGGTTGGGGGGGCCTGCATTAGAGATAGGAGCTGTCATGTGATTCAGGTTATGTTTGAAGAAAAGGAAAAACAGTTGTCAGTGTGGAAGGGGAAATCAAAGTCTTAGGATTCCAAGGGCCCGTATGGGGTGTTCAAATCTTTCTTTCTAGAAAAGAAGACTAGAAAAGGGATGACCAAGACCTGTGGGAGGCTCCAAGCCTCGAACCCATTTCTCCTAATAGTTGCTTCTTTTCAGAGGCAACTTGTGTACCTCCTATACCTTCTCATTTTCCCAGATCATCACTGTGTAAGCACAGCAGGTAGGTGAGGATTCTGCTCTGTTCACATTCCTGCGGGTGCAGAAATGTGTTCCTGGCATCCCCCATGGAGCCAGTGCATGTTTTACCCCTTCAGAACAGTGTAAATTCATCACCTCCAGTGGCCTGGGCCACCAGTAACCTTGTTGTGAGAGTCTCCAACAATGAATGCCACACTCTGGGACCCCTGTGCACCACAGAGTTCCAATGGTATTGTTCTCTGCTTCCTGGTTCAAGTTACCCAACCTTGGTGATGGAATGCTTTCCACTGTAGAGTGCCACAAGAAGCATTTTAGAGAGGCATGGAGAAGAAATATGTTATTCTTTTAGTGAAACATACAGAGAGGGCAGGGGTAGCATAACCTCCAATGACCTACATGCTCAGAAATGGTCTTTCGTGCCATAGGATAAAGCAAGATCCACAGTGGAGCAGAGAATGAGTCTCCCCTCAAGTTACTCTAATGGATGTGTAGAAGTCTCAAGAGCAGGATCTTCTGTTATTTATACCCATTCTACTCCTCTGTTTGGTGGATTCCCAGACATCCATTCTTTTTTTCCCCCATAAAGACTGCAAGGGTTGCCTCCTCTGGATTGAGGGTTTATCTGATGGGGGTGAGGAGCAGGATCTCTAATATAGATATTGGGTAATAGGAATAATCCAGAACAGGAATTTAAGAAGAGAGTTCATTTTGTTTCCAAATGTATTGGGAGAGGACCATTAAAATAATGGAAGCCCCTCGAAGCTGACAATGGATGATACTGATAAAACCTGACAAATCCGGGGCAGTGAAAAGATGAAGTTACATGCATTATGCAATAGTTACAGCTTCACAGCCTCTACTTCTGGCTGGACACAGCAGTCAGAAGCAGGGAGAATTGTTTTGTGCAATAATAACACTTGCTAATCCAAGACACATGACTCCGGTCCATGGTGAAAAGACACGGCACCATCACTGAAATCTAAGATGAAAGACAGTTGCCTCTTAACTTGGTTCCTCCACCCAGTCCTCTGGCTGCAACAGGCAGAGAATCTAATAATCAGGTGGGGATGTGGCTTAGATCAAAAGTGAGATCCAGTGGCCAGGAACTCACCCGCCCTGTGCATATGGAGGATGCACACCATGGAGGTGGGGTGAGAGGGGCCTTCCCAGTGGAGACTGAGTGGCAGTGAAAGGGAGTGGACTCCACCTGAGGGCTACAGAGCCATCCAAGGAGACAGAAAGTGCTGCTGAAATCCAAGGACCTGTCAGGGAAGGAGCTCACAATGGTTTCCCTTACGTGGCCTCACTTGGTGTATTATATTCCATTCTTGGCCACTCATGACTTTCACTCTTAGGAGGAGGATATTTGTAAAATTACAAACAAAAGGGATAAAAGAGTTGTTTAAAGAGCCCAAGGAGGATTAAACACAAGACCTCATTACATAACATTTGTGATTTCCCTCAATCAGCCTATTTTTTTAACCAGGAAGGGCAAGGTCAGGATCCAGTGAGGTATGAACGTGTGGGTATTAGGAGAATGGGCTGAGATGAGTCACCTTTCTCCTGGTCATCCCTGAGGGTGTGTCTGTAGCCTCCCCACTCCAGGAGCAAGGTTAGGCAAAATGTCAATTTCTAAGATGACTAAAATGACTTTATACACACTGCTTCATGAACCAGCTCGCTGATATTTTATTCCTTGCACTTAATGTGGGGCAACCTGGTGTTATGCAACCGAGTTGGGTTGGCAACATCTACTCAGCTTCAGGTATGGATGATGATGACAATAATAACAATAATAATGACGACCACAACCAAAGCAAACCCATTATCGGTACCGGCCACGTGCCAGACCACATGCTAGGTATGCAATCTAATTTTTTAAAATATTTTTTTTTAGTTGTAGATGGACACAATATCTTTATTTTATTACTTTTTATGTGGTGCTGAGGATCGAACCCACTGCCTCATGCATGCAAGGCAAACGTTCTACCACTGAGCTACAACCCCAGCCCATATGCAATCTAATTTAATCATTACTCTTCCCTGCATGATCGGCATTGCAGCATCTGCTTTATACACGAGGAAACTGAGGCATGTCAAATAACTTTATACGATTCTAATTCTTTCTCCTCAAAACCCTCTTCTTACTGTGGAAGTCAAGCAGAAAATTGTGGAGGTGTGCAAGAACCTGAGAAGAGCAAAAATGAATTTGAACAAATGGAGAGATTACTCACAGCAGGCGCAAAGGCTCCAAGCTCTCCCTTGAGGCAGCAGGATAAACTTCATTATTTTTTATCATTCCCAGTTAAATTGAATGCATGCCTAAAAAAATAGCCCGGTTGCAGGAGAGTGCCCAGATGGGAAAAGGGTTGTTAGAGAGGGCTGGGGAGGATGGCTGGGGAGGGTGATGGAAGCTGGTGTCTGCCTGTCATCCTTTGCCTGCAGAGGATGCAGAGGACCCTGGTGTACATGAGATCATGCTAGATTTTGAATGCCTCATGAGGAAAGTGAGAGGAGATAAAAGATATTTGAAGTGTTAGAACAATGATAGTATCAGTGCTGTCTAATAAATACCTGGTGTGGCATGAAAGTGGCACAAGCACCCTCAAAGCGTCAATTAAATTAGGTGGAGTGAGAAAGAGAAGTGGGGCAATTGCAGGCTGTGCACACTCATCTTGTCTTGTGGTGGGGACATCCACGTACCCTCCCTGCCTAGGGTGTGAATAACCTCCAGCCCTTTCTTTTTGATGTCCCTCTGAGCCTGCACTGCATCATAACTGTCCTGGGCATGACAAAGCACCCCTGCAGCTGACATAAATCAGAATAGCCACCGCCATGTGCACCCTGCCCACTCTTTTGGTTCCTAGGTTTTATGACCAGTGGGCTCCCTTCTTCTCTGCTGAGATTATGGCTGAAAGCTTTTGTTAACACATGCACATTCTTAATCTGTATTAGATCCCAGGTCTCCCACCCCGTGATTTATGCATTTGCCTGTCTTCTGTGTTGAGTTCCGAAGAATTGGAATTTGTGTAAAGGTTACGCAGGAGTAGAAAGCACATCTGGAGCTGTCTCAAGCTGCACACTTTTAAAGGCCCCAGAGCTGTCATCTTGAGCTGTAGGAAATGTAACACTGGCCCAGATGAACAGCAGTGCCCCTGTCACGAGGTACACACAGGCCAAAGCTCAGGGGTGGCAATGCTAGCCTGAAATGTTCAATCAGTAGGTGATCAGACCATTAAACTATAATTAGGTGTTATAATTATTGAATACCAAAAGGCATTATAATAATAGAAGTTGTATCTTCCCATTTTATATCTCATCTGGGATCAGATTAGTAGCCTATTCAATATAAGGACTTTGAGTAATAGCTGCTGGTCTGCAGGAGGCATCACTTTGATGAAAGTTGCTAGATGAGCTGTTTGATGGAAGCCCAAACACTTCTCTGGTGGAAAATGGAAATTGACCTGATGATGTTGCACGGAGACCTGGAAATTTCAAAGGCCTACCAACAAAACAAAACATCCAAAATGTCCAATAAAATAAACAGTCTCTCAATCTCCCAAAACAAAAACAAACAAAGCCTTACTTTTGGTCTCTAAAACACAAAATGAAATGTAAACAGTTGTCATAAAACATTCTATTTTTAGAAACAGGCTGTATTAGAGAAATGAGTATATAAATTCCTGAGAAAAAAACCCAGAATTATGCTTACATTTGGGTGCATATGAGTGGATGAACAGGTAAAGTAGGCATATTGGGAACCAGGTTGATAAGGTGTTTTCAGGATTTATGATGAAACGGTGATGGTTTATGGCAGCTTTTCCCCATTTTAGCAGAGAAGCCCACACACGTGGAAAAACTGAATTTTCTTATCGACTCTGACAGTAACCTTTTCGTCCCTTTTGTTTTTTTCTTTTCAGAACTCTCTTCGCTCACAAATCACCAGAAAAGCCAAAATGTTGGTGTTACTGGCTGGTATCTTTGTGGTCCACATCGCCACTGTCATTATGTTGTTTGTTTCCACCATTGCCAACGTGAGTCATGTTCTTTTGTTCATTCATTCATCGAGGAATTATTTGAATATTTACATAAAGTGCTACAAAAGAAATTTAAGCCATAATGCCTGCCCTTTATGAACTTCCAGCTTAGTTGAAGAAATAAAATAAACACACCCTCACACTTCAAACAATTCAATAGCTAAAGGCCACCAGTCACTAGGCTGCATGAGTGATCCCGCCAGGGCTGTTGGTGTGGAGGCAGGAGGATGCAAGGAGCTTCCTCGGGCTTTAGGGGAACCTTCCTCTCAGCAGAGGCCCCCTGTGCCATGCAATTGGAGAACTGAGAGATGAGTGGGGTTTCTCCAGGGAAAAATGGACAGTGCAAGGACCCAGGGATGCATTTGAGGCAGGAGTGCTAGGAAAGATGTGTCCCTAGGAAGAATGTGCTTTGTTCTGAGGATCAGGACACCCATCTGGCTGGAGCAGACCTTCCCAACCTTCTGGGAACCTTGATTGCAAGAGGGCATGGAAGTGAGATGATAGGAACTCTTGCCAGACTGATGAATTCAAGTTTTGGGTAGAGAGTAGCGTGTGAAATGGAATTTTGCACCATTTACATGGTGACCCTGAATTAACTTGGTCACACATAAAATTATCAAGCTAAGGTGGTGTCTTTTCTCTCTCTCCGAACCTTGGGCTACTCTGCCCTCTAGTGGTCATTTTTAGCACTAAATTTGCTTTTATTGTGCTTGTCTCAAACAAGACAGTTGGATTTACACACAAAGGCAATCAATCTGCGAATGATGGTTCCAGAATCTGTTTAAGTCTCAGCTACAGTTAAGGAATAATTAGGTTTTAAAAGTTACAGAGAAGAGCTTTGCAAATGTTGGTAGGTGTGAGTATAAGCAAAGCTAACTTAATCATAACTGTAGTAAGCCAACCCCCCACTCATTCTGCCTCTTTCAGATTTTGTCATCTGCATGCCAACCCCTACATCTCTCAGGATAAGAAGTCTGATAAACTTCAAAGCATGTTAAGGGATGCCCATGTGTTTCATATCTGGGCCTTAAGATAGGGCTTGGCACACAGGAGCTTATGGAGAGCTTATGGAGGCACATCCTTGGTTTTGCTTTTCCAGTATATGGATGTTTTATGTGCTTGTAGACAGGATTCTGCATTGCTTTTCTTTTTTAAATATATACTTTTTTAGTTGTAGACAGACACAATACTTTTGTTTTATTTATTTATTTACTTTTATATGATGCTAAGGATCAAACCCAGTGCCTCACATGTGCTAGGCAATCACTCTACCATGGAGCTCCAACCCCAGCCCTCTGCATTGGTTTTCTATTTCAGAAGGGTCACTGTTTTTCTTGGGCTGGGCAGGAAGGGATGCTGGTACCATGGTGAATTGGGGGCAGATATTCTAGTCCCTCTTCTGTTTTTATCTGCCCCCACAATAAAGCTCTTGCTGCATTATTTTACTTTGTATTTACTTTGCAAGTTGTGAAAGTTGAAGTTGGAACCTTCTGTATAAGTGAAAATGGCATATTGACGACCCAGATTCATTATTATTTTCCCAGGAGCCCCCCCTGTTTCTTAGTTGTCTTCAGTCAGACATTTTTTTTTCTTAACCCTTGAGTTTCTTGTGAGCCAGACCCTTAAAAGACGATCTTGAGAGAGTGGATAAATTGTGCATACTTAATACCAGTTTCCTCATCTAGGGTTTTTGTTTCTGAGAACCTTAGAATGTTAAACTACTATGAGTGAAATTATTTACATTTAATTTTTTTTCAAGCCACAAGGAATGTAAAGTCCAAAGAGACTAGAGGACCTTTTTCTGGCTCATGCATTCTCTCTCTCTCTTATCTCTTGGAGCTTTTGTAACTTCAGGCAACTTTAATTGGACCTTATTTCCACCAAGAGGTAGTCTGCTTAGCTGTATTTATGGCTACAGAGGGGGTGTCTTGATTAAGATTTGGTTGTGATGTAAGTTGATTTGTTATTTTATTTTCTCTTTTTTTAAAGTAGAGGATCAGTTTTTAATCACCTTTTTGCTTCTTTCTGGTTTCAGGTTTGGGTGGTTTCAGATGATATTACATCATCCGTAGGTCTTTGGAAGAACTGTACCGGGGGTAACTGTGGCCAAGAACTTATGTATAGCAATGATGGTATGTAGAAAGATGTCAATCCACTGCCAACAATGGGTGTGGTCAGGGGAATGCCCAGTGTCTCGAGTGGCCTAATGCCCTTGCTCTCCCCACCCTGTGTCTGCAGATGCCCTCAAGGCTGTGCAGGCCTTCATGATCCTCTCCATCATCTTCTCTGTCATCTCCCTCCTGGTCTTCGTGTTCCAGCTCTTCACCATGGAGAAGGGAAACCGGTTCTTCCTCTCAGGCGCCACCATGCTGGTGTGCTGTGAGTATCTTGGGGGCAGACTCTGGTTTATGTGGGAAGCGTTTTTAAGTGAATCTTCCTGTGGGTTCTTCTGGATACTTCAACAGATTAACATATGGCTCTATGAAATTGCCTTCTACATTTTTCTCCTTGGATTGCTTAGATTGATCACTCCTCATCTGCTATACTGTTCAAAAAACTAGTGTTCCTGGCAGCTACCGAAGTTGGGGCATGCCTATCAGTAGTGCTTGCATAGGGGACTTTTGAAGAAGGTGGGAAGGTGGGAATCCTAGGAAGATGCAACTTCTGCAACCATGCAAGCAATTATTGCAGTTCTCAGTCTTCTCTCATCCCGAGTACACTCAGTTTGATGGAAGTCCATGTCCTTTTGTACCTCTGAACAGTCTGCCTAGACAGGGGGGTTCAGACAGGAAAGCCAGGTATTGATAGTATTCAATGTTTTGCTTCACACTTGCAGCCTCACAAACTGGAGTAGATGTGAGAGCCCACCCATCTCTATTTTATCAACACCATCACCAAGCTTAGTCCACAGCAAACCAAAAGCACTACTGTTCAGAGACAACCAGTGTTTGCTTTTCCATTGCTATGAAGGAAATAGGATTAAAAAAATTATAT